ATAATTTTCTGCATTGATATGTTTTGATTCTTTTTGTCTTTATGTATGTACTATAGATTTTTACTTTGTGGTTATTATGAAGCTTCTATAAGTGTTTTGTAGTTTTATCAGGTTACTTTAAACCACTGACAACTCAACATTTATTATATGAAATAATAATTTTACTCCACCTCCCGTATTTTGTTTCCAATGTCACAATTTATATTTTATGTTGTATATCCCTTCCTGATTATTGTAGCAATTATATTTCAGTTTTGTCTTTTACCCATAATAACCATAATAATAAAATAAGTGGCTTATATTATCACCATTATAGTATTAAGAGTATTTTAAATTTGACTGTGTACTTACTTTTACCAGTGAGTTTACACTGTCATATGTTTTCATTTTTTGATAGCATATAGGTGGGTTTTACTTTTTTCCCCAATGTGATGGATAGTGTTTTTAGACAGTTCACGGTCATTGTAATTGTCAATATGCTTTTTAACATGCTTTTTTTTCTGAACCTACCATTCTATTGTAACTTTATTTTTTATTTATTTGCACGCACTTCATAAATACAACTTTAAGAGCATAGTAATTTTTCCCACTGTATCTGCCATTCCACCCACATTCCTTTTTTGAGAGGTAGAGTTACAGACAGTGAGAGGCAGAGACAAAGAGAAAGGTCTTCCTTCCGTTGGTTCTCTCCCCAAATGGCCGCAATGGCCAGAGCTGCGTCGATCCGAAGCCAGGAGCCAGGTGCTTCCTTCTGGTCTCCCGTGTGGATGCAGGGTCCCAAGACTTGAGCTGTCTTCCACTGCTTTCCCAGGCCATAGCAGAGAGCTGGATTGGAAGAGGAGCAGTGGACTAGAATTGGCGCCCATATGGGATGCCGGCACCGCAGGCAGAGGATTAACCTGTGCCAGGGCTCTGACCTTCTACCCACATTCCTAGCCTTCTACTTCCCTCTCCTGTTCCCAGTCTTTAAACATGCATTTTTGTTGCTCCCTGATTATCCTATCCATTTCTCTTTTTCTTTTACTGCCTTTTTGATTGTATGTTTCATGTGATTTCATTTTTCTCCATTATTAAGTTCTTTCACATAATTGGTGATATGTTTAAATTTAAGTCTATTCCTTTATTATTTGTTTTCTGTGTGTTTCCTGTTTCCCCTTTCATGTCTTTTGGGTTATTGAGCATTGTTTTACTATTCTGTATCTGTCACCATAGTCACAACACAGAATAGTTGCTCATTACTGTCATGATAGAAAGTAATATCATCGTCCCAAAGATTTTTTAACATTGTCCATTCAGATCACACCAGCTTCCTTCTACTGCAACTCCTGACAACTGCCAGTTTTTTCTTCATTTCTATAACTTTGTCATTTCAAGAATGTTATATAAATGGGCTATTTATATTTAAGACAATATTTATGTATTAGTACGTAAGTCTTATATTATATTAATTATTTTTATGTGTTTCCTCTTGTGCCTTTGTTTCTCTTTACTTGCTTCCTGTGGGTTACATGAATAACTGAGGATTCCATCTTGATTTACTTATAGAATGTCTTTTTATATAGTTTACAGCCTCACATGAACTGTAGAAACTTTGGTTTTACTTACACCCCTTTGCCTTCTCCAATCTTATTTATTTATTTAGAAAAGGCTTTATTCATTTATTTGAAAGAGTGAGAGAGAGTGAAAGCAAATGAAACCAAGCTTCCATCTGCTGGTTCACTCCCCAAATGGTGACAACAGCCAGGTCTGGAATCTGGAGCTCCATCCTGATCTCCCACAGGATGGTAGTGGCCCAAGTACTTGGGCCATTTTTTGCTGCCTTCCCAGATGTATTAGCAGGATGTTGGCTCAGAAGAGGAGCCGCTGGAACTCGAGCCAGCACTCTGGTATGGGATTTCAGCATTGTAGGCCACAGTTTAACCCACTATACCACAATGCTGGCCCCATCTTCTTCACTTCTTAATATCATTGTCTTTAGTATCAGATGGTGTCATCATTTTTGTTTCCATCATCAAATATGATTTATAAACCTCAAGAAAAATGTGTTCACTTGTATTTCTGTTTTATTTGTTGTTCCTCTTTCTTGGTGCTTCAAGTTTCCTTATTTTATCATTTGATTTCTACTTGAAAATTTTCTTTTAGTCAAAAGGGGAGGCAAGGTTGTTAATGACAGATTCTTTTAGGTTTTCTTTACCTAAGAATTTTTTCTCTTAATTTCTGAAGGATGGTTTCACCTGAGGTAGAATGTATACTTGTCAGTTCTTTTATTTTGCACTGCCCCCCACCCTTTGAAAAATGTGTTGCTTCCTTTGGGCTTCACATGAGAAATCTACTGAGTAATACGTCATTTCTCTCTGGCTACGTTCAAGATTATTCTCTGCTGTAAGCTTTTAGAACTTTAATTCTGATAAGTCTTGGCATGGGTATTTTTAGAGTTATCTCATTTGATATTTGCCCAGTTTCTTGAATCTATAGTTTTATGTCTTTTACAAAATTTTGAAACTTTTGGTAATAGTTTCTTTAAGTGCACTTTCTCTTTTTACCCTATTTCTAGGATTCTGATAATATGAATGTTAGATTGTTATTTTTCCATAGTTCCTGGATCTCTGTTCAGTTTTTTTTCCAGCCTATTTCCTCTGTTCCCCCCCCCCCCCCCCAGGTTGGATTGCTTTTACTGATTTATCCTTATGTTTACCATTTTTTTAAAAAGATTTATTTATTTGAGAGAGAGCAAGAGAGAGAGAGAGAGAGAGATACTCCATCTGCTGATTCATACCCCAGATGGCTCCAACTGCAAGGGATGGGCCAGACGGAAGCCAGGAGCCAGGAGCTTTATTGGGTCTCCCACATGGGTGGCAGAGGCCCAAACATTTGGGCCATCTGCTGCTGCTTTCCTTAGGCTATCAGCAGGAAGCTGGATCAGAAGTAGAGCCACCATACTAGAACTTGTGCCCATATGGGATGCTGGTGTCACTGGGGGAGGCTTTACTCACTGTGCCCCAATGCTTGCCCCTTTCAATTTCTTTCCTTTATTATTTCCACTGTAGTCTTGATCTATCTAGTTAGTTTTATTCATTATTATGGCTTCTATTTTTTTTTAATGTTTTTGACAGGAAGAGTTAGACAGTGAGAGAGACAGAGAGAAAGGTCTTCCTTTTTTCCATTGGTTCACCCCACAAGTGGCCACTATAGCTGGTGCGCTGCAGCCGGTGCGCTGTGTCGATCCGAAGCCAGGAGCCAGGTGCTTCCTCCTGGTCTCCCATGCGGGTGCAGGGCCCGAGGACCTGGGCCATCCTCCACTGCACTCCCGGGCCACAGCAGAGAGCTAGACTGGAAGAGGAGCAACCAGGACAGAATCCAGTGCCCCAACCGGGACTAGAACCCAGTGTGCTGGCGCTGCAGGCGGAGGATTAGCCTAGTGAGCCGCAGCGCCGGCCTTATGGCTTCTATTTTTTAAAACAAATACAGGTTTTCACTTAGGTGTTTGTATATTTTAAATTTTTTTAAATTTTCCCTTTTTTTATTTTTTTTACAGGCAGAGTGGACAGTGAGAGAGAGAGACAGAGAGAAAGGTCTTCCTTTGCCGTTGGTTCACCCTCCAATGGCCACTGTGGCTGGCGCGCTGCGGCCAGCGCACCGCGCTGATCCGATGGCAGGAGCCAGGTACTTATCCTGGTCTCCCATGGGGTGCAGGGCCCAAGCACTTGGGCCATCCTCCACTGCACTCCCTGGCCACAGCGGAGAGCTGGCCTGGAAGAGGGGCAACCGGGACAGAATCCGGCACCCCTACCGGGACTAGAACCTGGTGTGCCGGCGCCGCAAGGTGGAGGATTAGCCTAGTGAGCTGCAGCGCCGGCCATAATTTTCCTTTTTATTTTAGAGATTTATTTATTTATTTGAAAGGTAGAGTTAGAGAGGCAGAGGCAGAGAAGGAGAAAGGTCTTCCATCCACTGGTCCACTCCCCAAATGACTGCAACGGCTGAAGCTGGGCTGATCAAAAGCCAGAGGCTTCTTCTAGGCCTCCCAAGCAGATACAGGGGCACAAGGACTTGTTGTAAATAATATCTTGCATATGACTGGTACTTCTATCACTGAATCTGAAGTAGGAAATGCAAGTCTCTTCTAGATACAGGTAGCAGAATGGAATTGAGTACAAGGAATTGATAACAGACGTGTCAGGACAACTAGAAATACTAAAGAGAAGGGATAACCCAGAAATCTGGAAGCTATTGCAAACCCACACAGGCATCTGTGGTCACATTTGCCCCTGGGAGTTACTGGAGGTGCTGCTTCCGCTACTGAACAGGAGCCAGCCTGGCTTAGTGTTAGAAAGCCACCATTCTATTTCCCGGCTGTAGTCACTTGCTGTTACTGCTGCTAGGGACAAAAGCAGAGTATTTCTTCCTTTCTGCTTTTAATATCTTACCAGTGCTCCAGTTGGTGAAACCTAACATTAACCTGGTTTTCAATAGAGCCTTGGAATTTTTTTTTAAAGTTTTCATCCTCAGCACTTTAAAAAAGGGAAAGTGGGACTCTTAAAAAAGAGATAAGTTCTAGCACAGTGAAGAATTTGTTCAGCTGATCTTAGATTTGTTAGGGTCAAATGATCATATCATTTTTTTCTTTGTAATATCGGTAACTAACTCACTGTCTTTCACATAGTAGCCTTTCATAAAAATATTGTTCAGAATTATTTATGAATATAAAAGTATATGAATATACAAGAATAAGGTTTCTCCTTTTTCTTGCATATGCAAAAATTTGGATTTTGGAACTTACTTTCATTTTTGGAAATTTTATTACTCAGTTTTAGCCCTAGTACCTAACATGCTACCTGGCACATATTTAATAGGTGTTGTTTCTTGATTAAATGAATGTTAGGTATAGTATATTCATAAAAATGTATCTTTAAAGTTATCAAGTTGATGGTTTTATTGATATACTAGTTAAATTTTTTAATACTACCTAAAGTTCATGATTTATTTTCTTTCTGTTACAGCATCAAACACTTGGCTTGTTCCAGAAACTAAAGGAGCAATTGTCCAAGGTGGATATGGCCACACCAGTGTGTATGATGAAATAACAAAGTCTATATATGTTCACGGAGGCTATAAAGCATTACCAGGCAATAAATATGGATTGGTGGATGATCTTTATAAGTATGAAGTTAACACTAAGACTTGGTGAGTAGAGTAGAAGTATAACAAAGAAAATTTGGCATTGGTTGTATTTTATATTTGCATAATAGTGATCCTTATTAAGTACTTTCATGGAGAAATTCTTGGATTTTTCAATCTTTGTTTCAACTAATGATGTGCAGTCATGTTGCATTGATATAGACTAGTTAATAAATGATGTGTAGCCATCATTAATATAAATGATTCACTTTAAAATGGTTTTTGATCCCATAGAGATACTTATTCTGTATGCATTACTTATAAGTGCTGATACCATATTTATTGCACATTAGCAAATTCATGTACTAGAATAATTTTGATCTTTGATATCATCGAATCTGGAACCTGTTGTTTGCACTCAGATTTTATTGTCATTTGTACATTAATAAAAGTTTTTCTAGTTTGATCATCTAGCTTTCTGAAATACAAAGTTTGTGGCAGTTAGGGAGATTTTTCTATTATAAGCAATGCTGTGTTACACATCTTGTACTGATCTTACGCACATGTGCCTTCTTTTCTGTAAGGTATATACTTAAAAGTGAAATTGCTGTCTCTGAGTGTATTCACATCCTCAGCTTTATTACATGTTGCAAGTTGCTTTTCAAGGCAGTGTGGTAACTTGTACTCCCACCAGCAGGGGAGGATGAGTGTCCCTGTTTCTTTGTGTTTTCACCAATAGTTGATAACAAAACTTTCACTTCCGCTAATGTGATGGTTGTGAATGGTAGCTTACTGATGTTTCAATATGAATTTCTCTGATTACTGCTTTGGATAAGCATCTTTTTATGTGTTCATTTGCCACTTTTTTTTAAGAAATTTCTTGCTCATATCCATAATAATCTCTCTGTGCTTGAAATATTAATTATTTCTTTGTTTATTGATTCTCTGGGTAAGTAAGTTTTAATTGTACTCATTTCCTTTTGTGAAATCTGGAAAATGACTCCTTTTTATTTTATGACTCTATTACACTTCTCTAAACTTCCAGGATGAAGTTAGTATGTGTTTAAATGAAATGCAGTTTTCTACTAAATTGCAGCTTGTTCTGCCCCTTTCACTTTGAATATTTACCCTAATTTCTACTTTTATTTAAAAAAAAAAGAATTATAAAAGTCCCTTTTGGAAATTTTCCTTTTCTTATCTTTATTCTAATATGATACAGTATTAGTCTTTATATTTCAAAAGTATCAAAATGATAAATCAGTTTTTTTTATCTAAGTTTGACATGGAATCATATTTCCTATGTAATATGTCTCACTTTTTCTCTTTGACTTTTTGCTATGCTCGCAAGAGGAATTGTGGTACATTTTAAGTATCTATAATCTGAAATTATGAAATCTTGGGATTTTGAAGTATTTTGGGTTAGGAATGCTCAAATAGCATGGTCTATAGCAAATCCAAAAGTGTCTGAAATCTGGAAGATTTCTAGTTCCAAGCTTTTTGGATAAGGAACACTCAACCTGTATAGTTACTAAAGCACAATCAATCAGCCTAACATAGTGTTGTGCACATTGTATTGTCTCTTACCAGAAGGGAAAGGATAACGCCTGTGTGAAGGAAGCACCATAATTTACAACAACAATAATAATAGGTATAGCGATGCTCGGGGAAGGAGCATATTTAATAGAAGTGAATGATTGAGAGAGCAGAACTGGGTATTATTTGAATAAATTCAAAATGAGGCATTTAATTTTTTGCTCATCAGTTAAATAGAATTTTCTCAGATTTCATATTTCCCTTCCTAGAAAATTTCCATGGTGAACTTTTGCATCGAAGAATGTAATTAGCAATCATGATGATTTCTGTATGTGCACAGACATCATTAGATACTTGTCCTATTAGAGAATTTGCTAAAACAATCTATATTGTGATTTAAACACATTATTATAAATATGTTGCAGTTATATTTGCTGCTTTGATATTCTAATGGATCCTAAATTTTTTAAAAACAAATTAGCGAGAGGTAAAATTGATTTATCTGTTATCTTTAAAGTTTGTAAAATTCTTAAAGTTCTGATGCTTTTTGTTTTCTTGTTTGTCAAGGTCACTATTATATATAGATTATGCTATTTGTAAGGATGTTTTATCATATTTTATGTAATTTTAAAAGATCACCATTATATGGCCATTGTATAAATTAATCTTTATTTTTACCATCTCAGAACTGATTTCAGTTTTTGTACATATAATTAAACAGATATGCTGTTTTTCGAGATCATAGGTGATGCATGTTTGGAGGAATTCTTTTTCAATGGTGAAATTATATATGTATATGTTTCTGTTAATTCGGGGAAAATGAGGAGTGATATCTGCTTAAAGCGTCAGTGAAAGGCAGCGAGACTGTCAATTTAAGAGGAAGGATTTTGTCGAGGAAGGAGGGATTAGCATTTCTTGTACCTTTTGTCCTTGAGACAGTTATGAATCCTGAAAACTACCTAGGAAAGTGAGCAGTGCTTTTATCAACTCTGGAAGACCAATATTGGATTTTCCTATGTGCCAAGGGAGATGAGGCTTGGTGGGCTCTTAAGGAAGTAGTGCAGTCCTTGAAGTTCTGTATTCTAATAGTGAAGATGAACCCACCTCTGAGAGGCAGAGAGAGAGAGAGATCTTCTATACTCTGGTTCACTCCCCAGTTGTCACAATGGTGAGGTCTGGGCCAGGTAAAGCCAGGAACTTCATCTGGGTCTCCCACATGGGTGGCAGGGGCCAAAGAACTTGGGCCTGCTTTCCTAGGTGCATTAGCAGTGAGCTGAGTTGGAAGTGGAGCAGTCAGAACCTGATCCAAAATGGTGCTCACATGGGATGCTGGCATTGCAGGGAGCAGCTTAACCTGCTGTACCACAGCTCTGGCCCCAGGTTAGCACAATCTTGATACAAAAATATGAAAAATGTATTACAGGTAAGGAAAATTATAGTATTATATTTTTCATGAATATAGATGAAAACAATCACGTGACTGCAGCAGTTAATGGGAGAAGTCCATTTGGGGTCATATTAAGAATATAAATTTAGGCCGGCGCCGCGGCTCACTAGGCTAATCCTCCACCTTGCGGCGCCGGCACACCAGGTTCTAGTCCCGGTCGGGGCGCCGGATTCTGTCCCGGTTGCCCCTCTTCCAGGCCAGCTCTCTGCTGTGGCCCAGAAGTGCAGTGGAGGATGGCCCAAGTGCTTGGGCCCTGCACCCCATGGGAGACCAGGATAAGTACCTGGCTCCTGCCATCGGATCAGCGCGGTGCGCTGGCCGCAGCGCGCCAGCCACAGTGGCCATTGGAGGGTGAACCAACGGCAAAGGAAGACCTTTCTCTCTGTCTCTCTCTCTCACTGTCCACTCTGCCTGTCAAAAAAAAAAAAAAAAAAGAATATAAATTTAGTAAAAATGTGTAAAATTTGAGTAAAAAATTAAGATAATAGAGAAGTAAAGCTTTATACTTCCAAAAAGATGCAGAGAAATGTTTAGATAAAAACTAATATATATTGATGATTAAAACTGTAGTGAGCTGGGAATAGAAGCAGATTATTGAATTGGTAGAAGGTACAAACAAACCTCAAAGCTTTGTTGCAAACATTATAGTGAAATGTTGAAAGCTTTTGCTCTAAAATCAAAATGAGCTAAAGGTGATCACTCTTATTTCTATTTAGCGTTGTATTTTTGTTTCTGGCCAGAGAATAAGACAAAGTAAAATATAATATGATGTAATATAATATATTATAATTCAATGGGATATGGAAAATAGGTTACTGTATTTAAGGTCAGTGTAAAACCTCAAATTTAATTTTGAATTTGCCAGGAGCAATTAAAAATGACAGTTTCAAGGCAACATAATTTATGTTATCGCCAGAGTATCAACAATCTGAAAATAATTTAAAATGTGCAGGATCTTTACACAGAAAAACTATAAGACCTCTTTGTGTGAAGTTAAAAGAGACCTAAATAAATGGAGACCACATTTGATAATTGTTTGAAAAACTCAGTATTGTAGATTTTCTTTCCAAATGGATTTATGGATTTAATGTAATCTCAAACTAAATTGTAGGTAATTTTCTTCAGGAAATCAACATTGCTTTTTCTAAAATTTATAGGAAAAGGCAAACAGTCAACCATAGCTAAAACAGATTTGTTGTAAGAACAAAGTTGGAGAACTTCTCTACTTATGAAGCTACAATGATTAAGTGATTTTGCAAACATAGGGAAATAGATTAATGCAGCCAAGAGGAACTCCAGGCAAAACTACACATTTAGGGACATTTAATCTATGACAGAGTTGGTTCCATAAAGCAATTTTTTCAGCAAATTGTTCTGGGCCAGTTGGTTGTAGAACTGGAAAAAGTGAATATTGAACCCCATATCACACCCTTCAGATCAATTGTGTATCTAAATTCTAAATGTGGAAGATAAACTAAGAAATATCTTAGAAGATAACAGAGGCAAATATCGATATCCATGGGTAAAGAACAATTTCTTAAATAGAAATAAGTAATAACGGCTGGCGCCGCCGCTCACTAGGCTAATCCTCTGCCTGCAGCGCTGCACCCCAGGTTCTAGTCCCGGTTGGGGTGCTGGATTCTGTCCCGGTTGCTCCTCTTCCAGTCCAGCTCTCTGCTGTGGCCCAGGAGTGCAGTGGAGGATGGCCCAAGTGCTTGGGCCCTGCACCCCATGGGAGACCAGGAGGAAGCACCTGGCTCCCGGCTTCGGATTGGTGCAGTGTGCTGGCCGTAGCGGCCATTAGAGGGGTGAACCAACGGAAGGAAGACCTTTCTCTCTGCCTCTCTCTCTCTCTCTCTCTCTCTCTCTCTCTCTCTCTCTCTCTGTCTAACTCTGCCTGTCAACAACAGCAACAAAAAGAAACAAGTAATATTATTAATAAGGGAAAATTGATGGACTGATTTATATAGACTATATAGTATTATTAATAAAGAAAAGTGATAGACTGTGTGTTCAAAAATGTAAAATGAGGGCTGGTGCTGTAGCAAATTAGCCTAAGCCTCTGATTGCAGCGCCGGCATCCCAC